GTTAAATTTAAAAAATGTACTTTTGTGTTAAAATATATATTTATAATTTTAATAAATGACAAATTAAAAAGGCATGAACATTTTTTTTGTATCGAAAAAATATCGAACCGTGACACCAAAGTATCGAACCGAACCGAACCGTGAATTTTGTGTATCGTTGCACCCCTAATATATATATATATATATGTATATATATATATATATACACACTATGTGGATAGTGTACTGATAACCACTTTCATGGCCGGGTGAGGCCTTTTCCCTCATTGTTTCCTGACAAACATAAGGGAAAAGGACCTGTAGTTGATTCTAACTGTATTTGTTTGCTAGATTTCTCAATATGTGGACCAGAGAGATATAGATAGATATAGATTTCTACCCAAACTGAGTGTGACACGCAGCAGCTGAATCAAAGGCCTAGAAGAACATCTCAAGGAAAGACAGCATTTGGTGATGTCTGTGGGTTCTTGACTTCATGAAGTGATTGTACTTAAAATTATGTTAATTTGTCAAATTGTAATACCAAAGTAGTTATTTCAATACTTTTATTAAACACGCTGAATGAAAGCTGCAGGTCTGCATTTCACTCACATCTTGATTCTTTAATTTAAAATCCATTATGGTGTGTGCAGAGACAGAATTACACAAAAAACAACCAAAAACAACCCAAACCTAACAGTAGTATATTACAGCAATTAAACTAATGGGAAAAGTGCTTCCAACTACTGAGCTGAACCATATATCATCTCTTTTATTTCTTCTTCTTCTTTTTATCACTCTCTTTGTCAGCACAAGCAGCTAAGGTGAAAGAATTGGAGTTGCTAAGGGCAGAAATGGATAAGCTGAAGCAAGAGAGCCAAGGTATACACGTCTGTGCTCACAAGTTTGCATACACTCATCACAGACACGAATGTCATAGCAAGTTTGAGCTCTTAATCATTTCTTTAAACTTCTTAAAGTTTTTCCAGGGTGAAATGATAGTGTCTCATACATCTTTAATTACTTTAAATAACAAGAATTAGATGCACAAGTAACTGTAACCCACATGGGGGTCATAATTTATACATGCATGCTAAAATATACACATACAGCCACACTAGTATTTAGTTAATTGTCTCCTAGCAAATCCCACTTCAACCAGGTGCATTTTGTAGCACTGAGAAATAGTTAGCTCAAAAGCTTAGCAACAAGTGTTTTTATTAAAAATGTTCACAGTCAAACAGTATCTTTTAAAAAAATGTAATTATTCATTTAATTCCAGCACAAGGAGGAGAGCTAATCACCATTAAAAGTAGGGCAAACATCACAGAAAACCAGGTGGAGGTCCTGAAGAGAGAAGCAGAAGGTTTGTTGAACAGGAAACAATCTCATTATTGAAACAGTTACTGGAACATAAGTCACTTTAACACGTGTGTTTCTCTCTCTCTCAGTCAAACGTGTGGCTTTCTCAGCCTCTCTGTCAGGCACAGACGCACAAACTATTGGACCATTTGACACATACATGCCTCTGGTCTTCAAACATGTTGTTTCCAATATTGGAAATGCCTATAATTCGCACACAGGTACTCAAATACATAAATTTTTTAGAATTAATTTGATTTGATGACAATGTTTACTCCATTTAAATTTATAAAAATGTCCCACAGGTTCCTTCACTGCACCAGTAAGAGGAGCGTACCACTTTGAATTTTACGTATTTGGACATCATTCACATCCTGCAGGGGCTGTGTTGGTCAAGAATGGAGAGCACGTCTTTATTGCATACGAACATTCGAGCGGTCCTCATTCAGTCAGTTCTTCTAATGGTGTCACATTGCTATTAGAGGTAGGAGATGTGGTGTTTTTGCGACTGTGGAATGGCGCTTGGATTTATGACAATACAAATCGGCACAGCACCTTCAGTGGACATCTGCTTTTCCCCATGTGAGAAGAAAAACAGCCTAAGATATCTGTGCAAGCACACTCTACCAGTGTATTAGTTACTCTGCATTTTTTCTAGATATGAAGCTGACAGAGCAGCCACAAGTATGAATATGTAAACTATCATCATGTTTTCTTACTTTGTTTAGCCTTTTATTTAATTGTTGGCAAATTTTGTTTTTTAAAAAGAGAGATTGGGTTAAATGTTTTCTTTTGCTTCTTCTTCTACTTTTTTAAAAAGCTGAATAGTATCAGACCCACTTAAACACAAATTACGCACATGTAAAAATACCTTGTGATTTATAAAACCATGTTAATATAGCACGATCTATTTCCTTAGAAAGCAAAGACAGAAAGAAAGCTAGACATTACTGTAACTGTAACTGTTTTAATCCTTTGCTTGTCAATTTCCAGTCAATTAAACAAATAGCTAACTTTATTTTTTCATCTTCATGAAAAACTCCTGCAATGTCCCACAGAGTTTACACTTTTGGCTTACACCTGGATTTCTTACATCAACACTTGGCTGCCATTAAGTATGGCTTCTGTTTTACACCTGCACTACTACAACACAGCACAGACTTCATCCAACACATACATTCCCACCATTTGATTGGAAATATGGAAAAGCTGTAACTAATGCGTCACAAACACATATTATTGCCAACTTGTTTGCAGTTTAACTTTCTCCCAAATGAAAGAGTCTATTCCAACTAACTTACAACATTAACAATGCAGCACCTGCTTATTTAAAGTTTTTATGCAACTGACTTTGATACCGACTGCTTGTAAATCCATAGTCTGGCTCTATTTTCTATTTCACAGCTCTTAACCTCATATTTTTCACTTGGACCTCAAATCACAGAACACATTTCTCCTGAATGTGCCATTCACCTCTAATCCCGCTGGACTTGTATTTAAACTGAGTTAATGGCTCAATTAAAACACATCCTAACCTAAATGTAGAATTGTTTATGTACTAAATTTCAAAGAATAAATCAATAGCGTATAAGAAGGATTTGGGGTACAAAAAACAACAACAACCCAAAACTTAGTATAATCCTCAATGTAAAGCCCACAGCAGTAAAAGAATATTTAACAAAATATGAACATTATGATTTTTTTTGTTTAATTTTTCCTCCCCACTTTGCTGGGTGATGAGTTCACTGCATTTTTCTTCAAAAGGTGATAAGTTATTGAGTGTGAACCTTTGGGCAATGTCTCCTCCTGACTACATTTTCATGTAGATCGTGTTTGTTTACTGGCACGACAGTGTCAATCAAATCTTTCTTTCTACCCAGTAGTTTTGCACGTTTAACTACATCTAAATCTAAAAGGGTTTCTAGATTTTTGTTTGACCTCAACAACTACAAAAGAAACTGCCATTTCTTAAACACAATTTAATCAGTAGAAACTGCAATTTGGGAAGAGTTACAATAATTTTTAATGTGCCCAATTGGCTGGACATCCAACACTTAATTCAACTTTTTTATTTCCATGGGTTAAAGGTGAGAAGGTTATATTTATGACAAAAAACAATTTCTATAGCGATATAATAATTAAATTCAATATTTTTCACACAATGAGCAAAATAAGTAATTTAAAGGGACTTATAAGGTCAAGGCAAATAATACTGTGTGTAAGTTCTGTTAGTAAGAAGCAAAAATGCTCTTTTAGAAAATAAACCTTATTGAAAGTATCTTACACCAGGCCTCAATTCAGCCTCTCACTCTCTTTAAACTTCACAAACAGGAGGACTGAACTGGTTAGAGTGGCTGCTTTGAGTGGAGGGAAACTGCTCAAAGCATTGTCACCTTTGTTTGCTGAGCAGTGACTATTTCAGGCACTTCTAGCCCACAAATAAACAACGGAGGACTCATTTAAAAAGCACACAGGTTTTATTGCATATCAATTTCATGTATAAATTCTTCATAGCATTGGAAAGATTACATTTGGTATACATTGCTATTCTACAGAATTAACATCAGAGTCATATCTTTTCAATGAAATTTCTCTAAAGTACATCTGCAATAATCACAAGCATCAAAAGAACTGCAATTTCAGAATTGTTCAATATTATTCTACAATCCTTTATTGTTTTTCATTATGTCTTCTCTGACAAGTCTTTTCTAAGTCTTTCAGGACCACCTGTCCAAACATCTGTAAGGCAGTCAGAAGTTGAAGTCAAACATACTAACCTAACCACATGTACAATAAGTGCATCTACGAATTTCTTTTTTTTCTTCCTTCTTTTCTTTTTTTTTTAATTTTTAATTTTTTTGATTTGATACACGTTTCACAAATGGACATCATTATGACTGCTAACACGTCATGCACAATAAAAATTTTTTTGTTTGCTTTCAATAAACATAACAGAGGCGATATACAACTCAGATTTTAACAAAACAAGCACCATCCATTTAAACCCATATTTTTCAATGATTTTTTTTCTTCAGACAAATGCACCATGTTTTTCATTCTTTAAAATACTATACAGTTAAAAAGAAACTATGTATATTTTTTACTTTCTCCTGTAACAGCGGGGGCAAACAGCAACCATCTTCTATTTTGCTGAAACATATTTCAGTGACCACTTGCCAGAATACGTTCTGAAGCTGGCAAAATGAAATACCTATATGCCTTCAGTTCCTTTGCTTTACACAGCGCGTACTTATTACAGTAGTCCATGACAAGAATTACTACAAACAGTCAACCTTAAAACTTAATGACCCAAGTCTTTACATTTTGTAACCACAAGTTGGAAAGCAATGCATTTACCATGAATTGAATCTCATTCAGTAGAATTATATAAAAAAAAGACATCTGTCTTTAGAAAACTGAGATGATGCAGCAGTCCTAGCATCACACTACCACCTACTGTCATGAAGAAAAATTACAGTGCTTCTGTTATCCTTACCTCTCCATGTTGAGCACAACATGCCCATCTAGTGAAAGTGAAACCAAATGTATCTGTTCTAACATTCAGGGACCTAAGCATGATCAATTATTGGCTTGGACCCATATGATTTAAGTGCTATTTTCAAAATACAGCATCAGGCCTAGTTAGAAAAGTCCCAGTATGCGGAGAGGAACAGTGATCAACAATGCCCACGCTCCACCTTTTTGCAGCTATCTACAGTAAATTACTCACGCCCCTGCACGGCACAGCTACCTTGTAGACCATATGGAATGAGTTTTCAGTATGACCTCAGAAGAAGAATTTCAGATTAAGAAGTTATCAAGTGTTTCGGTTTTCCCCATCCAGCTAGACAGCTAGACATTTAATTTGAATGGACCGACCAGCAGAATTACGATGCCCGTTTTAATACTTTCTGTGGTTTGTTTTTATCAGTTCTTTTGGTTTAATGAGTTGTTGTCTTTCTTCTCAAATAGTCAGTGATTATGCCATGTTCGTGCAGTTGTGGCTGTGTGCGTTTGAATTTTGGACCGTATAAAATTGGACAACTCATTAGAAAAACAAAAAACAACAGTATTTGTTGGTTATAAGACATGTATTAAATCTGAAACAGATGAAAGGGGGAGCTCGATGTTGTAGAAACTACTCAGATTCAATAGTGTAACAATGTAATGCCCTTTTCATGACATCCATAACGAAGGTTGTCCAAGCCTGCCCCCTTTAGTACTTGAACCATTTTGAACAAGACACATTCAGCCTACTGGGTAAAATGGTTCAACTAAAACAAGGAAATAAAAAGGCTAAACACTGCAGGATGTTTCAATGCCAAATAGGATCTAAGACTAACTACAGCTATATTTCACTATAAATAAAATCAATTAATTTCATGTTTTTTGTTTTTTTGTTTTATTTTGTTTTTGTTTTGATTTTGTATTTTTTTCTCATTTTGGCACACTAACCCATCAAAACCAGAGATTCTGAATCTCCCTCATGTTCCGATAGTTTACCATTCCTTCAGCAACAAGAAACGAGGGATAAAATGACTTCTTCATTTTCACTCCCCCTGCCATGACAAAACAACCAAAAATAAATACAAACACACACTTCTGAAATCAAATATATAAGCGCTTAGTAAGAAAGAAAAAACAAAGAAACTATGACAGCAAATGCAAGCCCCTTGGAAATGAAATGATTGTCAGAGAACAAAACATTTTCTATGGGTTATTTGGCACATACCACTCTTCCTATGAACATCTAGGTTAATTTGTACATCATATGACATATCATACAATTTTGGTCCTTCTCTAAATTAATTATATTAACAATTAAGCACTGCAGTGCCTACGAAGAAACAATACTGTGTAAGAGGAAAGAAAAATTAATGTGAATAAAATTAACAAATGACAATGAAACAAGCAGAGAAAGACTTTCCTCATTTTTTTTCTGAACATGATTTAAATCCATTTTCAGCATGATCAAGTTTGAATAACCAATTACAATGGCTAGTGGCCCAGATAACTCATTGAAAGCACATTTGAACGTAGAATAAAATTCTTTAAAAAAAAAAAAATCAACAGTCTATTGTATCTGCCAATTCTTTAACTAACATTTAGTGTGGTGCTATTGTTGATTCTGCTGTTACTACTGAAACAAAATCAGTAAATAAGTCACCCATGGTTGGTGGAGGAAACACGGAGACAGCGGTCAACACTCTCACTCTATTCTTGGTGAAACAGTGCCAACTTGTGGACATGCAGTGCCAATGCAGCATGTCTCTGCAGTGTTTGTAGTAGGCGGTGTATACAGACTTTAGAGACGTATCAGTCATTAAGAGTCTTTATGAGAGCCTTACGCAGGGTCTCTGTGGTGCTGCGGTAAGCCTTGTGCACTTGGGGAGGATCAGAGTAATGCAGAGTTTCAATGCTATTGAGAAGCATTCATCATGTCCTTCACATCAACAGGAGCTTAGCAGTGCGTTCGCTTTGACAGTCTTTGCAAGACCCTTCACCTGGGGGAAAATCTTCCCCTTCTTTCTTTAACAAACACTCACACACAGACACACACAAAACAAGCACACACATCCACACAAACTCATTCTTTCTATCTTGAATGTGTATGACAATGAAATCTTCTCCATCATCCTTTGTCTTGCCCCCTACTCATGTCCACTCAGTCTTTCTGTTCTTCCTCCTACTCTTCCTCCCACCTTTTCTCTCTCTCTCTCTCTCTCTCTCTCGCTTAGATGTGGTTGAGTGGGTGAAAGCTGCTCGTCTCAGACGGTCCACCTCCCATGCTCAGCCAAGCGTCCAGAGAGTTCTGGGAGGGCGCGTGCAAAGGGTTGTTCTCAGAGAGAGACAGCATCATTGCATAAGCCTGTGAAAGAAGAAGACGGATGATTTTTAGGAAAATACAGAAACTTCAGTAAGCTTTCATTGTGTCCAACGACACGTCCAGAAATGAAAGGATTACAGTACATCTGGTTGCTGGTGTTTCACTCAAGTGTGATTATCTTCGAATTTCATGACTTTATACCTTGTAACAAAATTTAATTAAATTGTTTTAAAACTTAATACACCAGCAACGAATAGAGAAGGTTGTAGGTGATGTGTTAGTAAGTTAAGTGAAATACAAAGATATAGGAAAGTAGGAAGAGAGGTGCTGTTTAGCTCCTGAAAATGTGAAAGCATCCATCTCATCCCTGATCTTTCTTTCCAGTCAACATATTTTGCCCTTCCTCCTATTTTATCTGAGCGACTCGGCCCTCCCTCTTTTAACGGACATCCAAAAGCCAGTCACATACCTGGGTTTTAGCCTGTCTGTACAATGTCTCTTTCAATGCCTCAGATTCTAGCGAAGTGTTAAAAATGTCTTTAACATCGAAAGGCTGCTCGTCACTGGCTGCTTTACGTAAACCATCCAAGCTCTTGGGAAAGCTGGGCAGTGCCTCCAGGTCCAAGAGAGAGCCCTCCTCCTCTATACACCTGCACACCGAAGCATGGGTGGATGGAAGAAATAGGGCAGCGTGGATGGGTTGGTTGGAGGATGGATAGAAAAAATTGATGGAAAGATATAAAAAACAGGGATGGAACAGATGGCGAGTTAATTAGGGGAGGGAGAATGTGAAGTGAAGAGAAAAGTAAAGGTATGATTAATAAAAGGGATCAACGGACAGCAGAAATAAGGTGGAAGAAAAGGGTTGAAGAGTTTAAAGAGTAGTTAAAGAAACTAGCCTAATCAAAGCACTTGACTTTGGGTTACATTTCTGAGAATCTGTGTAGGGGACATTTTTAGTACATGTGTTATCCCTGTTTGCCGATTTACAGTGCTCTTTAGGAAATGCATTAGTTAGATTGTTAAGTATTGCAAATTTTGTTAAAACTCAACATTTGCTGTACATTTTTGTGGTTGTTTGGGATATATTGGGGTAAATCTTGTCAATGAACTTGGACCTTTTCTGCTAATTTAAAACAGACAAATACCTGCGAGTGTGTTCATAGCTCATCGCTAATGGAGCCGCCTCTGCCTCTTCTTCTTCCTCATCCTCCTCATACACTCCTGTTGTGACAGGAGACGGGGACTCGGGCGCCTCGTCGTGCGACTTCTCCGTCAGGCTGCCTTCCTCCTCCTCTTCATCGTCACCCTCCACTTCCTCTTCCTCTTCCTCCAGACCCTGGAGACCTAGCTTGGAGTTGGACAAACTGTGGCTGGGAGGGTGCTCCTCCTCAGGCTGGTCTGATCTGCGGAGGGATCAAAGGTCAGAGGAGGGAGGAAATGTTAGAAGTGCGATATCTGAGGTAAAGAGGTTTGAGTCTCCCAAGCCAATCAGGAGGGGCCAGAGGGAAACAATGGGAACACAGAAAAGTTGAATCGTGGTCAGTATAGTGGCCTGGATTTTAGTTAAAAACACATGTAGACAAACCAAATGGGAGTTTGATTTTTTTAAAATATGATTTCTAGTGTAAATTCCTGATTTTTTTTTTTTTTTTAAACTTTTTTACCACAAATGATCAAAATGTAAGATAGAGGCTATGTCCACTCTTGAGCTGGCTGGGCGGCTGTTACCATTTCCTAACCTTTTAACGATCTGACTCATCATGAGTAGCAAGAGAAACAAAAATAATCTAATGACAGCATGTAAAGTCTAACTCCCAAGTCCACACAAACAACATGGGTGCTGACAGTCTGCCTGGACTTTTCCGATGGCCCACAGATGATTAATTGACCCGCTCCTCACAAACAGACCAGGGCATGGTCCACCTCAGACTAAGTCCTCTATGCCCCTCAACGCTTTGTAGTGGTGGAACACAGTTTGCACGACTGAAGGAAGATGATGGCTTGGCTGCAAACAGGCTATCAGCACACTACCATTACGACCTGCCATCTGTACATTTTCCAGCTTGCACCCCAATACCCCCTCCCCCGCTTCCATCACCCCCAGACCACGATGTCATGGCTCATGATATCATTTCCTTTGGGATGGCAAATTTACCCCTTTCATTTTTTGCCACACAGTGGACATTTATCAAATCAGACAGGGTTACCTCTGGGAAGGGGTGCACGGGGACAGGATTGGGTCACGCAGACTGGGTGAGTGAATGTGGGTAGAGGGACTTTGTGAGAGTGGAGGGGGGTTCTTCTCTTTCAGTCTAGATTAAATATCACCATAATCAAATTGCAGCGCTGGCTGGCGGGGAAAAAGTACATGCCTGCGAATGGAGAGAGAAGCGTAGCTCTGACATAGGGGGCCCTGGGTTTTGTCATTTAGTCTAAACACGTCAGTTGGGTGTTTGTGTTAGCAGACTGGGGCTATGGGTACACAGTGAGTGGATAGGGGAAGAGCTCAATCATCAGTGGATCTCTTAGATAAATGCCTCAACCCGAGTCCCCCTTAGGGTCCAAACTGAGAGCTATTGCAGCCCGGTCTCAGATGAGGGAGCAGCTCCAACTCTAGTTTTATCCAAACCTAAAACTCAAGCCAAAGGCGGTGAGTCCTTACACACTGTGGTGGAGCTGAAAATATGCGTGCACACCTATACTCCCTAACTTTTCTCATTCTGTCCCACCCTGTGAGCAGCAGTGCTGCCTCAGCAACTACAGCATCACCAGTTTGGAAACAGGTCAAAGTTTTATACAAAAATAAAGGCTCCCAGGGGCTTTTATTTTGACTGGCCATGATGCTGAAAAGGGAATTTTGAAGGGGGTGGGGAACTGTGATGTGGGGGCAGCTAGGAGTGATTATAGATAGTCATCCATGAATGTGTGTTTGTGTTCAGCATTTGACTTCAGTCACTCAGAGGGAGAATAAACAGCAGGCTGTCTGGTGGGAGGACAGAAAGCACAACACTTAGTCTGAATTACAGATATTAAAATGTCAGACGAGGTTGTTGTGGATGAGACTCGGTATTGATCCCAGATGGCAGAGGGGCTAAACTGCCACTGTGTCTTTTGGACATAATGCATGTTGACAAGAAAAAAGGGGGTGTGGGGGAGAATGAGGAAGTGGCAGGCAGAAAGTGAGACTACCAGAAAGGAATCCAGAATGAGACGAAGGCAGAATCAATGCAAGAGAGCAAACCAGAAAATCGCCCTTCTTTTATTTCCCAAAACACAATTCTTGCCCTTTTCTGTTAACTATAAAAGCCTTTCAGAACTTAAAGCAGGAAGTTTCCATTTTTATGAGGATATTTAAAAAAAAGAAACCTGTTTTTTTTTTTTTTTTTTTTTAATAAAAAACAGTTTTCCTTACTTTATAAGCAAGTTACAAGTTTTTTAGAGTGCAGCGAAACTAACAGGATTAACACTTGTGCTACTGGTCTGCAGGGTATTTAGAACTGAGCATGACGTTCACAAACACATTAATTGAACATTAAACATTAAAGAAACTAAAATGTGTGAAAATTGGTATACTGAACAATTACAGTTATGTTTTACATTTAAAAAATGAAAGGTGAAAAATTAAGAAAACCTTTTTTTTTTTCATTTATTTTAGTGCAATGGTACTAAGTGTGTTCTAGCCACTAGGGAGCGCTGTGTACCAATTTCATGGGTCTGTACTGTTGATTGCGGGAAGGAGGAAGGCGCTAGAGATGTAGAAGAGCAGCTGTTTACTTTAACTGAACAAACTTTTTGTTTGTTTTTCTGGATTTTCATACCTAAGATTAGATGTCCTAAATAAAGGAGATGCATTACAACATTCCTGACAACATCTGACAAGTTCTTTCTGCTGTAGTTAGGATTAATGTTAAATTCAGGATGAGGTCGGGTGAGAATCTAAGCTTGGCTGAAAAGAGTTAGCCACATGGATGGAAAGTAATCGCTGGAGATCTCTGTGAGAATCATGGTACAAATATAATTTTTGTGAGCGGGTTTTCGTCTTACCTTTTATCCGTGGAGCTGGAGGCCTGGTTCATCTCACTGTTGGAAATGAAGTTGCGGATTTCTGAGAAGTACGAGTCCTCCTTCTCATCTAAAAGTGCATGATTTTCTGGCTCTGAGTTTGGCGAGGAGATGGTCGTTCCTAAGTTGGAAAGCATCCCAGACTGTTGGCTCACTGTTGGGGAAAGAGATGTAGACACACACATCCATATGCATAAAAACACATGGACACACACATACAGACAGCCCACATACCATACCAAGACACACAAGCATCATTCATTAGTGTAATGATCATCGCACAGTTATTTAATTTAGGAAAATATCAGAGGCAAAACACACAATTACTAACATTTAAACACTAAGATCGTGCACAGCTCTCGTGACATTTTTTTGACAAACAGAAAAAAAATGTTTACAGAAATCTGTGTGGAAGATAAACATGATAGCAAAAAGGTTTTATATAAGTTATGCTCTTACATTTTTCTGACAGTTTTTCAATAACCCATGTGTGAAAATGGATTCAAACAATCAACTAAGCAAACACTTCCTGTTTATTGACTACATTACTAGTTCGCACAGCCATCATTGCAGTTGCAAACTGACCAGGAATGTTCTCGTGCTCGTGCTTCTTGAGATGGCGATCGAGGTTGGTTTGCTGACCAAAGCAGCGGTTGCACAAGTGACACTTGAAGGGTTTCTCCTTGTTATGGATATTGCGGACATGGCGTTGAAGATTGGATGAGATGCTGAATGAACGGTCACAGTATTTACACCTGACGAAGAAGAACAGGGGTATTTAAATGTCAGCTGAAAGTGCAGTAGAGTGAGAAGGGCCCTAAAGATGTATTATTTATCTGCTGAGTTGAGCAAGAAACCACTTAAGGCTCTTGTGATTTGCTTAAAAGTATTCACTTTGTTTTTTCTCTGAAGTTTCACAGAAAGAGACGTACCAAACAAAGTAAAGGCAGGTTTGAAAAATAGCCGTGACAAAGGGAAATATGTCAACTACGGTATTTCAGAAACTTTCAAGACTCTCTGAATTAAAAATAGAAAGGAATACCTGTAGGGCTGTTCCCCTGTGTGTGTCCGCAAATGTCTGGTGAGATTTGCTGAGCGAGGGAAGATTTTCCCACAGTACCTAGAGCAAAAGGACAGTGAGGATGAGTGAGCATACGGCATGGTGCACTTTCACATTTGCACATATTCCACCAACTAGTTTAAATGAAAAGGGGTGCAGACCTGCACGCGTAGCGTTCCTTTCCCTTGCGAAGGATGGCGTCTGAGAGGGAAGGTGGTGGTGAGCGGAAGTTGAACAGCGGATGGGCCGAGTGTTGCAGCGAATTGGGCGGTGCGTCCAGTTTTAGTGCTCCAAAGCCGTCCAGCTTATCTGTCATGTTCTCCATTGCTGACATCTAGGGAATAAGAAGATTTCAAAAAGTTGAGAAATTTTTTGTTTCATGTTTTAAAAACTGGATAAAAATAATTCAACCAGAGTTTGTATTATTTACCGTGTTATGGGTTCAATTATAAAGTTTATAAGGGCAGTTTTAATTTTTTGCACGTAGCGTGTGTTACATCATGATTGCAGCATGTTTATGCGTATTAAAAACAGAAAAGAAAGCACTGAAAACAAAGGGACAATTTAAGAAAGAACAGGGAGTGAGGGAAAGATACAGGGAGGAAGCTTTGAGGAAGCAGCATATCAGAGGTTAGCCTTGTTGTTTGTACTCAAGGCATGTCACCTCCTTGACCTATAACACATTCACAAATGCCCAAGTACTGTTTCTCCAGTGCCCCCCTCTCTGTACAACCTCAGCTTCTACTAATGCTTTGTTCTCTACTTCTTACCTTCTTCTGCCAAAGCTGCTGTTGCAAGCCTGCAAACTGGCTAAATGAGGCATTCAAGAGCCATGACTGGAGCAATACAATATAGTTTGTGATACCCCCAACTGATAGCTGCTTCCCTCCCCCCCTAGAAGCTTGTGAACAAAAGAGGCCAGTTATGTAGGAGTTTATTTGCCAAAAACAGCTTACATCCTTCCTTTTTTTAGTGAATACGGGACGGGAGAGACACAGGGACAGACACTCCGTCTCGATGTGTTTATTCGCAGTCTGAGAACGGGTGCAAGGGGGAGCGGGGTGATTCCGTCATGAGACTCAATTAGAGGTGGCATTGTGTTTGGATCACTGACAGGATCACAGCTGAGACGCTCAAATATGAAAAAAGTTTTTGCAGGGCAGCCTGCAAAAAGTTCGCAATCTACGAGATGATGAGATGAGATTTTAAAGGATGAAAAGGAAATCTGTTTGATGCTTAGAGCCTTGTCATGACATCATGTTTTTAAGATTTTGTACCCGGGTTTAGGGTAATTGAAAAAAGGTACCAATACAAAAAAAAAAAAAAAATTCTTGCAATTTACCTTAAAAAAAAACTATGCTGGCTAACAATATGACATCACGCATGTGAGATATGCAAACGCATGTTCATGTGTAAATGTATCTGTCTGCATGTGCACCAGATGTGTGTATTGCAAAGTCACGGTTGATAGAGGACACAGATTTCCAGGTCAGATTAAACCGTTTCCCCAATGAGAGCCCCCCATTCTCCTGGACACAAACACAGGATGTCCTTGACGGACACGGTGTTATTATCTAGCCAGCCAGCCAGGCACAGAGAAAAGAAAAAAAAACTCCGAGGGGTTTGAGTTATTAGCTTGCCTGTGGGCTCCCACTACATGAAACAATGCCACAACTAAGATTAGCGTGGCCAAGAGAGGCAGTTTGTTACAATTCAAATGGTTATTATTCTCTCTTTTATTAATACTATCATTGCTTGTAATCAAGATATGTAGAGGTGGGGAAGGTCTGGGGACAGTGGAACAATGTGACTGATTATCAAAGGGCAGCGATAACAGGCTGTGTCTTCTGAAAAAAGGTAAAGCTGACGAGGTACACAGGCGCCATTCCGTAAACAAAGGAAGAAATCATACAGAACCCTTGAGAAAATAACATCAACACTTTGGAATGATGGCGCTTGGGTCCTATCAATTCAGGTTTAAGCAGCGTGGGAGGCAGGAGTGAGGTATTTTCACATAATACATAGTTTGAAAATAATAGTCAATACTATCTGGGAATAATCAGCTTGTATGCAATACCTGGCGGTCAATTCCCCTGCTTGTTAGTCTCTTGGTGTACTTTCAGTTTAATGTGCACGTAGCATTTACTGTTTCTTAAAAAGAATAGTCTCAAACCAAGCTAGGTCATGTGTGCACTATGTACCTGGGGATGGAAGAGTGGCGGTGAGGGCCGGAGGAACTTGTCCTTCAGAGCTCCTACCGGGTCGAGTAGCTTCCTCTTCTCCACCCTGCTGGACCAATATCAAGGCAGAGGGTTACGTACCAAGGTCAAACTTCATCTAGAATGCCCAACCTCATATTCTTCAATGCATCTACAAAAACGCCTTGATGTTGGTTGTGGAAGTGTCTGGTCTAATCCGGGCTGAAATACCTGTATATGGGGTCCATGAAGAATGCTGAGGGCTTGGCATAGTGCAGTGGTGGTGGCTGGTGTGGCTGTGCCTGGGGCTGCTGGTGCTGGGTGATGGTTGATTGGTGCAAAGACTGTGAATGAGGGTGTGGAAAACCAGATGGAGTTTCATCCTTGATTGAGACCCCTTTTCCACCTCCATAGATGTGGTTCTTTCGATTATGGGGCTCAGCTGGCACACCATTATGACTCCCTCGGCTCCGGCTGCCAATGCTGAGGTCCAATGGCTGTTCTTCACTGCTAGATATTGCTAAATGTCCACTACTGCTCCCAGTACTATTGTTGGGGTTTGAGGTGTTTGTTGGTGTTGAAGGAGCTATCTTGGCCTCCTTGGGTTTCGTGGTGAGATCGAACGGTGATTCTGCTGTGGGAGCAGGAGCTGCCGGGGAACTAGAAACCATTTTGTGCAGTTGCTCACGAGGCGACTTGGGCTCTGCTTTAAAAAACATGCTAGGATTGAGAGCACCTCGATCAGCACTAAAAGGGTAGAGGGTGTTGTGGAAGTTGGGCAGGAACTGGAAGGGAAACATGGAATGATAGGGCAGTGGACCCATCTTCTTCTCCTGATGAAGTCCAATCAAACCTGGACCAAAATATTTCTCTGCAATAGAAGCGATGGCTTTTATGGAATCAGTGGTGGCTGCATTGGAATTTGTGGTGGTTGTGGGCGGGAGGGCTTGCTCATCAGGTGGGGGGAAGAAGGAGTGCTGCGATGCAGAAGCAAGAAACGGACGATCAATCGACAGGTTCCCTGAACTAGACATGGCTGATATCAATGCACGGTTTGTGTCTTCTAACTGGTGTGCCTCTTGGCTTGATACAGTGCCAGACGGCTTCCTTCTTTTACCACTTCTCTCACGCTCACTCTCTCCATCACTTTCCAGGTCAGAGCCATCCCCTGAAGCGGTACCTGTGGTGGTGTCCAAATCTGTCCCACTTGTGGTATTGACATCTTCAAGGTCACTACCGTCAGACATATCTGCCATCTTTGATTTTGGTTTGGCTTCTCCACTAGAAGACAAATCCAGTTTATTCTCCTTCTCTTTGTCTTCGTGCTGACTCAAACTGTTAACACCATTGCCATTTGTGGAACTAACTAGAGACAATGGAGGAGCATCTAGAGGACTCTGAGGCAGCTTCACCTCCTGACTGCTGCTGCTCAGCGGGCTCTTTATCAGTGGACTGGCCGGTAATAAAGGAGGTCGTGGATATAGTGATGGGGGAAAAATACCTGGGAAACCATGTGGGAGGGATGGGAAGCCGTGGGGTCCTGGGGAGAAGGGCAAGCCAGCATGAGGATGAGGTCGGGAAGGAAAGTAGTCAGTGAAGCCTAAACCTGACTGGTTTAAACCAGAAAGGTGGGGATGGTGGGACTTAGCCTTAGCCATGATTGGGCTGGAGCTCATGGGGATGCCAGGGTTGAACATCCCTGCTGGAGAGCCATAATGGTTTTTGCCCTCACAGAAGCGACGGTGCTTGTTGAGGGAGGAGGTAGTGCTGAACAACTGCCCACAGTCTTTACATTTGATCTGGGTGCGGCAGTCAGCATGCATACGCTTGTGGCGACAGAGGTTGGAGAACTGGGTGTAGGATTTGTGGCACACCTCGCCTGGGGGAACAAAAAGATGCAGCCCACCAGGGCCTAGTTAAACCAGTTTTAACACTGTCTCTAACTTTGTATACCAAAGCAACAGTAACATGAACATTTAAATGTAAACGGCTGTTGAAAAAAAGGTTTTAGGAAAGGAAGGAGCTGGTTCGTATGGACAGGATAACTTACACAATCTGAAAAAAAGTGGTCTTGATTTAGTTTGTATATATTTTACTTCCAAATAATTACTGCACACATGTAACAGATAAAATAAATAAAATACATATGTGAGGGCTGTTTTTTCCCCCTTACTGTAAAACACTCCATTTCCAATTTAAGGTCTGTCATGTTGTTTTAAGTTTGACAAAAAAGAGCTTAGGTAACCAGATCAAATCTATTATTCACATTGTATAATGAAATTTATTGCAGGGCAAATACGACCTTTGTGCCTGCAAACAAGCTGGTGTACATAGAAAAAAAAGAGAGACTGGATAATGAGTGAGGTTAAACGAGGTAGGAAAAAAAAGTCTCAAATAAATAAATTGTTATGAAAAAGGTGATCATTAACTTCCGAAGCCCTTACTTACAGCTAAAGGGTTTGACACTACTGTGGATGTGCTTATGCTGCTTGAGGCCTGACGAGGTGGCAAAGGTCTTGCCACATTCAGGGCATGTGTGAGCGCGGGCCCCCACGTGTTGAGAGCGGATGTGACGCTGAAGGTTACTGGGATCTGTGAACACCTGAAATTTAAAACAAGTGTATAAAAAAAAAGCAAGGTATGCCATGACTAACAATGCTAAAAAAATTACACAAAATTCCCCTTTTTGTATTTTGTAAAAACATAAGCAGACTTTTCATTTCTTTGTCTTCTTAAAGAACTACTAACAGATAAAGCCTGTGTGTCCTGTGCACAACTTACGTGGCGGGTATGCTGTACCTTATCACAGTTTTCACACTCAAAGCGCTTGCCACTGTCATGTGACATCTGGTGACGGATGAGGTTGGACTTCCAGTTGAAGGCTTTGGGGCACTGGTCGCACTTGTACTCCCTCTCTTCTGTGTGAACTATCATGTGTTGTCCCAGACTTGATTGAGAAAACACAAACTCATCAGCAAATCAGTCAATGAATCACATTTGTAGCACAATGAATGGGCTGAACTTCACCTGTACTCATTGGGAAAGATCTTCTCACAGTCTTTACACTCATGGACAGGATCGTCGCTGTCCTCACGTTCCTGTTTGAAGTCGTCTCTTAGTGCGTCAAAGATGGAGCCAGCACTGGAGCATGAATACTTCTGATGCCGCCGCAGCTCAAGTGTTGAGGAGAACAGCTCATCACAGTCTTCACAGCGGTACATCTGCTCGTCTGCACGCAAACACACCCATACACAAGGGTTTGTTTAGCCACAACGCAGCTTTCTATATGAATAATACATCAAACATGTACGTAACTAAGAGATATGTATTTTAAAAAAAAAAACATTTCTCATCATAACCTTTTCCGAAGTTTCACTATTGATGTAGGAATTCTTAAGTAAATAGAAATGATTAATAATTAGTTTTTGTAACTTTGTAACTTTTGTAACTTTGTCAAATTGTCAACATTTTAATTACAAGCTAAGACCACCTACAAGCAGCGCTAATCGCTGACATTTAATTGTGCTTTTAATCTGTGCAAAAAATACAACATTTTTCGCTATCAGATTCAACAAACTATCAAAATGTGCAATGCAAAATAAGCTTATTTGCATCTTAGTATGCCAACTCATGTTGGCAGAGATGCAGAACCAAATGTCTAAAATGTATAAAAAGATAAAAACTGATAATAACACTCAGCAAAAAGAAGACTCTCATCCTGTTTTGTGTTTCAGTCGCAGCTGTATAGACAGGTTTAACAAATGGTAAAAGCAACCCCATAAAATGGAAATCAATTAGCAGTGAAATGTAACCGTCATTAAAACTGTTAATTACTTGTTAAAACAAGTGTTTGCTTTAGAGTGTTGGTGTAATAGCACACAGAGGAAACAATAGGGGCTGGTCTTCCCCTTCCATGTTGATAACCTTTACAATACTTCTCACCAACAAGGTCAAATGCATAAAACGCAGACCAGCTCTTTCAATAGCAAGTTCCTGAGTCCGACGCCAAGTTCAACAGATCAGGGGAAAGCCCAGCGGAGTGTCTGTGTGCAAATGCATAAACAAGTGTACGCGTGTGTGCGCGCGCGCACAAGTGTGTGTGTGTAAGTGTGCTTATGTTTCCAAAATGAGCCAAAATGAACAGAGGTAAGCAGGGCCACGGTGGCGCCGACCCCATGGTGATTTCAGCGCCAACCTGCCATACCCTCTTTGGCATGACCCAAGCAGCCAGCGTCTGAGTCGGCCCCCCAGGTGCCCAACATGCCACACACACCCATCCATCAATTCAAGTTGTACTAAATGAGTTTATCCAAAATGACTTACAGTGCATGGCTCACCTGCTTTCTACTGCATGTGGCCGTTTATCCAGCTGGAACTTCTTGGACACATTAAAAGGGCATTAGTGTAGCAACATCAATGTGTCTAACCTTGGGGAGAAGGATAAATGACCTTCTGGTCAATGGACCATTACACAGAGCTCAAACACTAAACTAACTAGCCACTTTGACACCACTGTGTGGACGTATTTCATAGGGAGCGAGCATTTTACTGTGAGAGGGTTGGGTATGATTGCCTCTGCAGCACAAACAACTCAAAATAATTTTTGTCTGCGACATTTAAGAGTGGAAAATATTTTGGACAAAAAATAAAAATAAAATAAAGACATGGTTCATATACAGCAAGGACCTTCAAGTACCCTCTAGGAAAAAGGAACACAAGTAATAAAAGATGAAAGGAAACACCTAAAAGGACACTCAGGTGCGTGCTTGAATGTTAGGATGCACATATGCAAAGGTACTTGCATGTGCATTTCGGTGTGCCTGTGTTTTTTCAGCAAGTCTGGCTTGTGTGGGTTTTGTGGAGGGGGGTGGGGAGGTTAAAGTGGAGACTAATAGCTCTCTGGGAGACGAAGGGAGTCACAATTATGTGCAGTTTAGCAGCTAATCTGGGAGCATGGGTGAGGTCTCAGGGGACTCCTCAAGTCCTCCACTTCAAATTCCTTCTCCGATAAGCTGGACACAGAGAACAGAGCTGCGCTGCCAAACTCCTGCTCAACCCCACTGCCTCACTCCCTTGCTCGCACAAATGCAGGGAGACAGGAAAAACAAATCAGATGCGATCATCACAACGGTGAGATGACTTTGAATCGCTGCTCATCCTTCTATTTCAGTGTTGCTGATTCACATATACTGTAAGCATCTTTAAACACTAAACCATCTGTATGTTACATGTTCTTTTCTGTGTGGCTTCAGCTCTCTCTTACACAACACACAAAGCCAAATACTTTGGCCCTGACACAGACATTTTGGCAGGTGAAATTTTCTCTCTGTCTGCCTCCCTCATGCGCATACTTACAGGCAGATGAATTCAACAAATCATGTATAAGCGTGCTCCATCTTTGACACACTCCTACAACATGTCAATCTGCTTCTTTTCAATAATATAGCTTTCTTTGCTCCTGTATCCCCCCTCCCCCCCCTTCATCTTTGGCACGGAGACCTGTGCATAAACTGTGCATCATGCAGGGTAGTGGTGGGGAGCTGGTGAACTGCACAGCATCTCACGAACATCTTGTTCTCCCTCCACAATTTTCTAATCAATGACAAGTAACAGTAATCAGATTTTCTTTTTTTCATCTGTGGTTCCAGAAAGACTGGAAACACAACAAAACAATGTTACCTGACAACAGCACTTCGGCACAATAAGTCCAAGATGTTTAAAGAAAACGCAGCGGAACTACGGACCCTTTTCCGCTTAAGTAAAGTTTGAAAGAAAAGTGAACAGCTGTCCAAGTTAGATTACGAGATAAAATATTGGACATATTCAGTCTGACATAGGCGGGCACGGTTGAAAGGCAGTGAGTACAGTGAATCAGGTTACCCAGTCAGAGAGGAGAAGGGTGGATGAGAGCACCTAGAAATGTGACGCACTTTGAAATGTGAGCCAATTTCAAGAGGACAGTGTAAAAGAAGGTGTAACGAAGCACTTACGGCACAAGATCTAAAGAAAGGGTCATAATAAAATGCACAGAAATGTATTAAAAGAAAGAAATAAAGGGAACGATTTTATTTATATTGTGTATAATCTTTAACTAATTCAACAATGAGACTAAAAAAGCTTCAAGCTCTAGCATATTCAATTAACTCACAGGTAATTTTTCAATCTCAAAATTGCTTCTGATCATACCTGATCTGCTTTGTAGCTTTCTCTTCATTATTTTTAAGCACTAATTAAATTACACACAGAAACAACTTAAACAGGTTAGACAGAGGCATCTTTCCCCCTTTCTTTTCAGTCGGAACACGGGATTCCCAGGGGTTGAAATCGCTACAGAGAAGTCGCTTCGACGCACGGAGAAACGCCAGGCAGGCAGAGTGAGCGAACATAAATATACAATGCCATCTCAATGGAAACTCCTGATTAGACTGTTTTGCTGAACACCAATACAATGGCAGGCTGCTGAGGTGGGGGGACTGGAAAAGAAGTCAATGAACAATCCATCAGAAAGGCCGACTGCCTAAAAAACCGCTGTAACGGAAACCTCATACCTATATATCCAAGTTTGACCGAGGAAGTAGACTGTAAACCGTCTCAAACCAACAGCCTTCTTAAAGTTGCACACCGGGGAGACACTAATTAAACTCTTGACTTGCAATTTTCACCCTATTGTTTATTTATTTTCATTTTTAGGATAGTAATAGTGTTCTGATGCCAGTCCGTTTTATGGCGATTTCCTTACATTTCCAGCACTAAGGTGTTTGTTTGAAGGTTTTCACTCTGATGAAGACCTGAGGTGGTTGAAACGAGTCAACGTTTTAACTAATATTTCCCGACTAAACGCCATTAATCCATCTCCCCCTCTTGCTCCACCTATGGACGTTTTTTTCCTCCCTTTGCTCCCATAATGTGTTCTTAATAATATGCACGGCTACCGAGTAATTTCTGTTTGATCTTAGCTTTCCGTCAACAGAAAATTTCTACTCGCATAGGATGGAATATGACAAGTGCCAATTGACGCCCTAATACAGCATTTCAGGCAAAGAGGCCCATTATATTGCAGCATTGTAAAAGAGCACAATTCAGACCAGACTCTTACGGGTATCCTTTCTATATTGGCAAGCCTATTTTAAATGACAGATCCAAAACGGCCTTCAACCATATGCTTTAATGCGGGATTTAATTCCATCCTGGAAATTTATGGTTCGAATAATTCACATTTCTTGAGTAGGGAAAAAATCTTGGAGGGAGAAGTGGTGTCTTTTCCTCCAGTTATGGAGTGTGTTGACCGCGAAAGCGGCACAGGATGCAGGTTGGAGTTTGTTTAAAACGTGCGCTAATGACGCGCATTAATCTTACCTTGTAGGTTGGGTGCCATGGATCCCTCAGGGAAAATACCGTCCTTCATATACACTAAGAGCTCCTCCCCTGCTTCAATGTCCCGGACAGCTTTATAATAAATCTGAAGAGAGAGAGAGAGAGAGAAAGGCAAGGGAGACTTTAACTTAGGTCAGGAAAGGATTAATACGTCTGGCCCCCTATATATTTACTGTCGCAGCTCAGGGCCCGCGTGAAACCCAATATTATTCTAATAATATGGCTGGTAACGGGGGTATTACAAATATATAAGGTAAGATACATTATCCTCCTATTGGAACATAATTGATTCTGATCTGTTCACAACATTAAACAATTCATTTTACTAACATACCCCCCCCCCCCTTTTATTTCACAACACAATCAGCTGTTTGTTTAATTGCAAATTTACCCGAACTTTGTGAAATAAAACGAACGGAAATACTTAAATGTTGGTTTCTCTTACAGATGGAAACGTGATCTGCACTCTTGTTAAAAAATAAATAAACACCCGAAAGAATTATATAAGAAATCCAGACAAACGCATTTGTTACAAAAAAAAATGTCATAGCAAAAATAAACAGCCCCGCTTCTGTCGTGCGTTTTTGTTTTACAGCTGCAGCAAACCGGGAAATGTCGGGTCTTTAACTGCACGCGACAAATCACTTTATTGAGGTCATTTGACAAGTGTGCACGGACATAATTTACTGCTGGACACTTGGGTTTCATTTTTTCCCAGTTTTCGTTCAATACAACAGAAATCGGATTCAAGTTGAAGTATTTAAAGGTAAGTCAGAGCCGAGGCCTAAACCAACAGTACAGGAAACCAAGCTGAGCTTAAATCTCGATTCACAAAATACAAATAAATAAATAAATAAATTATAAAGATGATAATTAACATTCAAAGTTTATTTTTTTAAATAATCATCTTTACATGGCACTTCTTTACATGTTGCAGCTCTGTGCATCCCAATTATTATGACACAGCGCAAACAACTTCAGGCGTGATCTGTGAACGCATGGGGGCGCTCTGCACCAGCTGTACACTGTCACCACAACAAGAAGGACAGAAGCACTCTTTGACACATACACACACAAACATACAGAGAGGCTGGGAAAGTAACTTTTCAGACTTAGCGCTCGTCAGATGAGAGAGAGGAGACAAAGAGCAAAGGCCTAAAATCAACGAAAACTACACGCATTATTATTATTATTATTATTATTATTATTATTATTATTATTATTATTATTATTATTATTATTATTATTATTACAGCGTATTATATTTACCACAAATAGGCTACTGTCTCTCTATGCTTTTTCGACCTGACCTTTCTTTTCTCCGTGAGACGGAACAGTTGAGAAAGTTGCGCGGCGCTGCGGAGAGCCTCCAGCTGCAGTAGCACTTCAGTCCCGGTGGAGTTGGCGACACAACCCATAGTAGGTCTGCCCGAGATGGACCGGGGCGCTAGAGCGCACAAGGCCGGGGAGAAGGGGTCGCGGGTCGGTCGGGAAGAGCTGTAGACGGTCGGTGATCGCTCCGTTTGGTTGGATGAAGCCTGACGCTCCTCTGCTGGGTTACTCTCTAATCTAGTCAGTGAGCGCGTCTTTGATGATGATGATGAGTCTCTCCCTCACTCTTTCTCTCTCTCTCTCTCTCTCTCTCTCTCTCTCTCTCTGACTCTCTCTCTCTCTCTCTCATTAGTGATTCCCTGTTGCCCCTTAGTGCTCTCTCGGTTACCCGTCGGCCACTCCTCCTCGTCTTATCTCCAGCCAAAAGGATTGAGGGATCTGCGGCACAGACCCCTCCCCGCATCTCCGATCCCAGCCGCCGCTTTGGCCGCTTGATAAATCTACTATTGATGTAAATAATAGATAAAGCAGCCTGACAGACTCGCAGTCATTCTGTCGGTCACTCTAACACACAAACACACACAGACACACACACTATAGGCCGAACACATGCTTAAACAAGCAAATAGACACACAGACACACAGCAGGCCTTTTAATTTTTTTTATTTATTTTCTTAGTTTAAGTTTTGCTTCGTGCTTCACTTTTGTGGTCTGAGCATAATCTCAATACCTCTTAGATTTTTTTTAATCTAAAAGAAAAAAAGAAGAATTGTTGAAGAAAAGAAAATTTGACAGAGTTGAATGGTTTAAGATCGCATTTTAATAAAACATAAAAAAAAATAGAATTTCGATTTTTATGAGGCTTGTGTGACGTCGTAAAGTTATTTTGACGAAAAAAATATATCGATTACGGATATTGCTACTGAATTATTTTTCAAATATTTATTAAATCGTATTTACAGCGGGTAAACAAAACAAATAAAACCTGTTCAGACACGAGTGTGGGCACTGAGGTAAAAAACAATGAACAGCGTCGCAATATCCCTAAAAGTCCTTTTTTTATTTTCTATTTTTTATGCTTAATTTATGTTGCAGCCCTTTTATGTGTAGTTTAATTTATGATATTAATGACACATCTTCCCGGTTTTATGTCAAGATTATTAATTGCAACATTATCAGAAAATATTACACTTTTTTTCCTTTCAAAGAATACAAGTCAGTTAATAATTAAGAGGGTTTAATTACATTCTTAATTAATATTTGGATGTCTAATTTGAATATTTCTTTTGCCTTTTCTCTTACTCGGTCTCTCTTTCTCTTTCTCTCTCTCTCTCTCTCTCTCTCTGTGTGTCCTACAGTAAGGTCTGATCACATAGACTTGTCTTGACCTCTTCCCATCTCTGTCCAGTGTTCAGCAGACAGATGCCTCATCGATCAATGCCAGCCATAGGGGTCCACAACAATCCCCTACTGTGGCCTAATACACATGCGCGCGCGCACACACACACACACACACACACACACACACACACACACACACTTGCACATGCATGCTTGTCTCTATGAATTGATGGATCCGTCCAGGGGCAGAAGGGCAGATCAAACAGCACTGGAAAGGGCTTCACTCCAAAACACAAAAGATGAAAAGTTGACAAGAAGGTGGACAAGGTTCATCTTTTCCTTAAACCCCCCATCAGCTACCCACCCATCTCACATGCCACTCATAGCTCTCTCAGCTGTTTCCACCTCTCAGTGCAACTTGGCCTTTGAAAAAGTGAATGGGCACACTTGCAGAACCATTTTGACCAATTGTTTGGGGTTATAAATGAATGAGAACAATCTCACTTAGGTGCACGCACACACACAGAGGCACACATTTTGGATGGATTTTAACTGAGAAGAATGTAACTGATACAGTTGTCTGTAGATGCTTACACAGAGAGCCACATTCAATCCGAATGAAAAAATAAGAAAAAATAAGAAATCCACAATACTTTGAATGAAAGTTGTGGAATCACCTGACAGAATGGAGACAAATCTATAAAAACAATGCCAAATTAATGCACGGCCACAAATGTCTGAATTATGATCAGTCATGCACACATTTGTTCATCTTGCATCATTAATGACAAACAACCCCATAACTTCTCCTCTTGCTCTTTAAAAGGTTACTGCCTGCATTTGAATTTGCCTAGTGTGCACATATTTCCATAAACTCATGTATTGTGCATGCAGTTATAAAAAAAGAAAGAAAGAAAAAAGAAAATCAGTGAATGGTCTCTTAAATTATACATTTTAGCACTGAGTGGCTGCACATAAGTGTGTGTGTGAGTGTGTGTGTTTGTGTTGTGTTTGTAAATAAATGATAGGGTCATACCTGCGAGCCACTACACCAAACAACTGGGCAAGCAAACAAAAGCAAAAGCCGTTCGCTAAGTACAAACAACTGCAAAACACATCAAAAAGCAATCGTGCACGTGGCCTTTTCGTGGTCCGATAATTCTCCACAATTTTCTCTGGTGCCCTGATTCTTTCTTTGACATTGTGTGGCAGTGGCAGGGGGCACTGATGTGAAAATCTTAAAAGGATTAGGCGGGCTGGTGTTGCCAGCCAATTGGTGCTTGTCAATCTCGGAGGCCCCCGTGCGTTCAGTCTCTTACGCCTGGTACCAAGCCCCCTTTCTCTCTATCGGTCAGACTTAATGTCTGAAGCTTAAATGGACACACCAGCCTGTCCCCTTGGTGTGACAGGGTGACAGGTGGCAGATCAAGACACCAGGATAGAGAAAGGAGACAGAGTCGGCAAGGAACAGGCGGCTGGAGACGGAGTCAGGAAGGGCCGCGTAGGCAGGGATTAGAAAACAAATGAGAGCGGAGTGACGAGAATGTGGAAACACGCAGACGAATCATACGGGCGGATCTGGCTACTGTCATGCTGCTTAGCTTCTGGTGTCATCTCACTTAAGATTCCCATCCTCGGTTCTCCTTTGGAAGCAGATTGAATTGACAGTGAAATGCGTATTAAGTAACAGCACCAGTATTTAATTTGCAGAAACTGGGACAAGAGTCAGCAGAGCAAAATGTAGCAAAAAGAAAAAAAAACTGTCTCTGTGTTATAAACAGAAACGGAGAATTATGCTAATACGTTGCAGCAGTGTAAGTTGTGGTACACGCATTGCATGGGGTTAGGGTTAGGGCCTAGTTAAGCAGTTGGGGTTTTATAGGCAATGGCTGGGCATCTTTCCAAAAGGATCCGATACAGCTCGCTTAGGTTTGAGAGAGAAAGAGAGAGCGAGAAGGGGGTGGTGGGTGGGGGTGTTTGGGTGATAAGAAGCAAAAAGAGAAACTGCTGCCGCCACAGAAGAAGACTGCGCCTTGGATAACGGTTATTATGGGACTCAGGAGTGTCAGACTATTCCTCAGCCTCTTTACATGGGTCAGTTCTTAACAGCACTGGCAACCATCCCAGCCACAGACACACAATGAAGCCATTCCTTGGTCATTACTAGCACACACTTTTCTCCAGCACACACACACAAAAACACTCATTCACACACAAAAAGCCAGCATTTACTCTTAGTAGACGGGAAGGAATAACTGCCACCCCCCACTCGTCTCTGCCTATTTCAGTGTGGTGCGACTTCCTTCGTATGTGGACAACGGATTCAACTTGGACAATGTTGTCATGGCACTCACCTGGTCTCCTGTGAGATGACAGGCGGCGAGGTTCTGCTCCTCAAATGATGGGGCAGAGCGGACGTATTTGAGCCAGCTGTTGCCGGCGGCATCTGGTCCCGTGTCCAGTGAAAACTTCACGTTGCCCATGTCATCCACCACCTGTTGAAAAGCAACAGGTTAGATATTAAAAAATAAAAAACAGAATTTTTCAACGACTATTCAATTGACTTGATTTAATCAAGTGATTTTTAGTGTAGTTGTGCAGTTGGTGTGTTTACATGGATTAAATATTTGTGTGTGGGCCAAGGGTTTGATGTCATTTAACTTTAAGGTACACAGAGCTAACATGTCAGTGGGTGTTAGGGCCATCTAACCTTGTCAATCCCAACAACAAGAAGAGGAAAGAGGGAAAAGAGGAGGGAGTACACAAACGGCGGTGTCTTTTACTTGTCTAAAGACTTTCCCTGGCACATATTGATCACCCTTTGTAACCCCTGCAGACCCTTGAGACTCCAAGAGTGGGTTTCATGTTACCTGCTTTCACAGAGAATGAAGGAGGATGGAGGTAGTGGTGGAGCAGGAAGAGGAGGAGCAGAAGAACAGAAGAGGGGTCATTGTGAAGTGAAGAGTGAGGGGGAAAACCAGGAGCAACTAACCATGCTTTATAGCTTTATAGCTTTATAGCAATGAGAAATAAAGGCTCCCAATCTAAACTGATTCCTGAAGTAAAATGCAAAATAATGACAATTTTGGAAAGACAGCAATTTTGCAATAAAACTCTCATTTTTTTTAATATTAGACAGAAATTTGCGCATATATGAAACAGAACCAGAAATTGCTGGAATCTTTGGTGGTGGAAATTTGTGTTTGCTTGGTGAAGTTGGTCGGTTCTGGGAAATCTGGAGCTGGCAGAAACTACCGGGCTCTTCTCCACATAGCTGATGTGAGCCTGTGTGAATCCTCCAGGAAGACCTGGCCTGAGACTGAGCAACTCCTCTAATTACAACCACCAATCAGCCTGGCTTGAGTTCAGCCCTGACTTCTAGTATGACACGGTGCACTCCTAATCACAGTCAAATGCCTGCTGAAGGAAATCGAGGTGTGATGGAGAAGAACCAACAAACCCTCTGACATTTTTAGATGTGCAAGGTTCGCGAACTTCTCTAACTGCCTGCTTTTCTAAAGCCATGCTCATGTTTTTTCCCCTCCAGCTCGTAAAGTGTGAAGGCCTATGTTCTTGTTGTTGAATGCACGCGGAAGGTGTATTTTTGTGGGCGGGGGTGCAGGTGCCAAGTCTGTTGAGCAAATATGTAAAGGGTCTGGATGGAGGTGTGGAAGAAACGCCATGTGCGTGCTTGTACAAATACGGCAACTGTTTTAGGCGAATGCATGTATGCACGGCTAAGGCAACAGCTTGATGTAACAGCATTGCCGTGCTACTTTCAAGCCAAGGTGTGAGTTTACCGAAGTAACTACAGTAACTGCGCCTTCTTTAGAACAATGATGCCTGTTAGCGCCTTGGCTGAAAATACATATTAATACCTAAAGGTGTTTGAAAACCCCGTTCAGCGAGGCTAGAATGAAAGCTGCAGCTGCTGGTTGTGTGTTGTGTGTTTGTAAGAGTGTGGAAAGAGACAGTTTACTGCAAATCAGTTGCTTCTATGCATTCCCTATAACTCACACTCAGATATTCAAAAGCCATATATATATATATATATATATATATATATATACAAGCCAATGAAAAAATCTTCTCTATTCCTCATGCTCCTCAGATCTACAGCTACTGTCTCCTCACTGTGCACTTTAAAGTCCAAGCACTTGGCCTGACAAAGGCAAGGCCTTCATTTTGTGTGTGAAAGCAGTCAGTGACATGCTCACCTAGTCTTCCACCCAATATATTTGCTGGTGGAATCAAAGTGCACTTGTCATGAGATTACAAGGTAGCTGCAACAGGTATCTTAGGTGTTTTATGAACACATGGAGAAAAGCTGCGATCCAGGTGTAGAGTGTGTGCGGTTATTAGTTTCTTTTTGGGCACATGCACATGTGAACACTGCAATGTCTACATGTTGGGCAGAGTTGTATTCATACCCTCTCATTTTGTCGTCCCCCCCCCCCACACACACACTCTACTACATCACTCTCTCTCTCTCACACACACACACACACACACAGATCTGATCGTGGATTTAATGAGCAGCAGACCTGTGTGTGTTCCTGTATGTGTGTAGTCTGGGAGGCCTGCTAACACCCTGTCTCGGGGTGGAGGCCTGATTTATAAGGCTTCAAATGAGGGGCAACAGAGAAGGAGAGCCAGAACAAGCTTGCGGCTGATTGTTTGTTTATTTACCTTTACCTTTTTTCACCCATTCAACCTCCTCCATCCACATGTAACATGGAGGAGGAGGAGGAGGAGGACCCGGCTGGAAATCATCAACTCCACGTGTGAACAAATTTCAACCAAACAAAGCAAGCGGAAAAAAAACTCGGCTACTCAAAGATTTCCCCAAAGCTTCTCTCAGTGATTAGAATGCAGACACTGTAGCTGTAATGATATCAGAAAAAGTCTTTATATTACCAAACCCATCTCCGCTGAATGTATGGTAGCTGTGCCTTAATCTTATCACTCAGTTTTCAGTTCTTCTCATTTGTTCAAAAGGAGAATGAGCTGGTAAATTATTTTGATCTCAACCTCTTAAAGATTCTCTTGAATATCCTTCGATCTTTTACCAAAGATCATACACAATTAACCGGTTTATTGTAAAACCATCTATTTATTGCTTTGGTATTTGTAGATTTTGTAATTATATTTAATCACTGAGATTGTAGAAGTTGTATTCATACAATAATGTATTTTTAAAAGACAAAGATCCATCTTACCTAGTATGTTTGTTCACACATTCATTTACTTCTACATCACTGATATACTGTACTACTCTCACTGAAAACATTTTAAGAAAAGCAATTTCAGAACTTGACCTATACTATGAACAGTATTACAAAATGACTCACTTGACAGCATGCACACACAGACACACACCAACACATTCATGTGCACAGAGACACAATGAGACTTCACTGAAAGAGAAGCAGCTCTAAGTGGACAGGATGCAGAGCAAACTCCACAGGAAGCTCTGATAAGAGCACGACACTTATACCTCTCCTCACAACACAAAGGGGAACCTTTGACAGCTAGGAACCTTTAATGGCTGTCTCGGCATGCCCTCTCCTCCGCCAGTTATATCTGACGGATGTGTGTGCTGCACTGGGCTGAATTAGTGGCGGAAAGTTGCTTGTACGGGTAGACGTTGGTGACAAGGTATATATTATTTTCTGTTTGACGAAGGACAGAAAATGGAAATGGCAGCTCGGAGTGCAGTGGTGATTGTGATTTTGATGTGAGCTTGAGATAGAAGCATGTGAGACATAACTCCTGGGTTATTGCATGTCTCTGAGGGAATATTTTTACAAAGTGTGATCTTAGTGCTCCGTTGCACACTGATGTGGTGTTCAACGTGTGAACACGCCCTTGTTTGCATGCATTTGTATACACGTGTGGTAGAGGACCAAAAGGTTTTCTCGTTTTGAGCTCTTTATTTTTACCCCCCCTCCCAGAAAATAGAGAAACGTTTGTTTTTGTTTCAAGGTTTTTGGAGGATAGGAGATGAGCGAGCCATACTGATTTGCCATTTTTCAGACCAACAAAACTAACACATTGGTTCCGGTATTAAAGAAGGAACCAGGCAATTAAGCAGGATCTTTTTCAAAAAAAAGTTAGCTGAAAGATTTCTTTGAATCGAAAGTTTCTCTGGCTCTGGGAAATGGAAATAAGCACTCTAAACATGTAGAGAATGGCAGACTTTCTCCTGGTTCATCTGCTAATGTCTTGGGGAGGTTGCCAACAAATGGAAAAAACATTGTTTCAAGGAGGAAAAAGAAAGAACAAGGAGCAGATTCTTTTTAAGTATCGATCTTGCTTGATCTAGATTGGATTTGTGTGAAAATATAGAGAAAAGAAGGATAGAGAGATAAACGAAGAAAAAGAAAGGTATGGAGGATTGGGTGCAGTTCAACTTAAAGGAGGCAGGGGGCAGCCTGGCGTGAAAACAAGCGCAAAGTAGAAATAAAACTTCCTTCTCTACAGCTGTACATGTATTTTTAAATATATAAACAAGGCCATGGTGGATGTAGATAATAGAAGTGGTATAAAGAGAAATAATTACATATGAACACACACATTAATACACTCTGTTTCACCCTGAGAAAAAGGACAGTCATAGAAACTGAGCAGTGACAGATTGAGTGGCTGTGAAGTGGGCTGCGGAGCTGGTTGTTAGAGGTGTTACAAATTAAGGTGCAGGAAGACTAACAAGAAATAAAGAAGTGTGTGTGTTGGGTGTGTATCCTTTCTGGGTCTGTTTCCAGTTGGGAGGCCTCTTAACATGCACACAAACACACACACACGCACAGACTGGCAGGCTAATAAAGTGGTTGATAGAGTACAGATCATGACAGCTTCCAGTGTGTTTGTGCTCATTCTTATGTGGGTGTGTGTGACTGTGTGTGTGTGTGTGTGATGGATGGGGGCCTACGGAGAAGAACCTACCATGCTACATCACTCAGTGATCTAAAAGAGTGTGTCTGTCCACATTTGTGTGCATGTTTATGTGTGCGGACGTAAGAAGTGGAGAGACACAGGAGGAGGTCCTGCCAGTGAGCACCGTCTTACGCTGAAGAAAGAAGACTGGAAGGAATAAAAGAAATTTTTCATATTTTATTAAACTTCAGTGGACTTAAGCTGGGTGAGGATGATCCGTGAGGGAAGTGGAAAAACAAAACAGAAGAGAAGGAGGAAATGAAGAGGTGTGATGAAAAAAAAATATAGCTGTGATTGCATTTCAAGTTACTATTTATAATATCTGTAAAATTGGGACGCTAAATTTGTTGATGTGTTAGCGTGAGAGTTGAAATATTTATTAGTACCCAAATAAACGTTGTAAACAAAATAAACCAATGTTCCTCGTCATAAAAAATTATTTAAAAAAAAGCAACTATTACTTCTTTATTTGTGTCACCTTTGTCACATTTATACACTTGTCTGTTCTTTTTTAACAACAATGTTTACAAATTTCTTATTTTTTTATAATATAAAACAT